CTTACACACACTCACACACACACACACACACACACACACACACACACACACACACACACACTTGTGTACAGTGTTTGTTTTGTTTATTATGTAAATGAGCAAGGGTGGCACGGTGGCTCAGTGGTTAGCACTGTGGCCTCACAGCACTCAGGTCTCTGGTTTGAGTCTCGGCTGGGTCAGTTGGTGTTTCTGTGTGGAGTTTGCATGTTCTCCCCGTGTTGGTGTGGGTTTCCTCCGGGTGCTCCAGTTTCCCCCACAGTCCAAACACATGCGCTATAGGGGAACTGATCAACTACACTGGCCGTAGTGTATGAGTGTGTGTGAGTGAATGAGTGTGTATGGGTGTTTCCCAGTACTGGGTTGCAGCTGGAAGGGCATCCACTGTGTAAAGCATATGCTGGAATAGTTGGTGGTTCATTCCACTGTGGCGACCCCTGATTATAATAGGGACTCAGCTGAAGGAGAATGACTGAATGAATGAGTGAGTGTAAATGAGCATTAAATGCAGAAGCTCCTCATGAATATTCACGCCTTCATTAATAAATCATCCTGCAGACACTGATATGAATATGAGCGGTGATGGACATCTATAGGGTTGCTACAGTGCTGTGAACCGTTGCTAAGGTGTTGCTGATGTAATGATGTTTTATTCATCAGACATAAACAGAAGCATAAGTCTGGGTAAAGGTCAGAGGTCATGACCTGCAGGCGCCGGGGGTGAATGACTGCATGACTGAATGAATACATTAATAAATGAATCTATTATTCACAGATCAGAGCGCAGAGATGAAGATCCACACACACACACACACACACACACACACACACACACACACACACACATACACACACACTATTCATCAGGGGTCGCCACAGCAGAATGAACCACCAACTATTCCAGCATATATTTTACACAGCGGATGCCCTTCCAGCTGCAACCCAGTACTGGGAAACACCAATACACACTCATTCACACACACACACACACTCATACACTAGTACCAGTGTAGTTGATCAGTTCCCCTATAGCGCATGTGTTTGGACTGTGGGGGAAACCGGAGCACCCGGAGGAAACCCACACCAACACGGGGAGAACATGCAAACTCCACACAGAAACACCAACTGACCCAGCCGAGACTCAAACCAGAGACCTGAGTGCTGTGAGGCGACACCACTGAGCCCCCATGGCACCCCTGTATGAGCATCAGCCCCTGATCATTAATAAACTCTAATGAGGATCAGCGTGGACTGAATCCTGGAGCTGATGCTGAATCGTCTGCTGGAGACTCTGAATAACTCATCATGATTCCCCAACACACACTCATGACTGACTGCAGGAGTGAACACATCAACAACTGCACTGATCCACACTGACCTGCTGAAAATATTAGAGGAAAATATTCATTAAAATACCCAGATTCATCATACACATCACTGTGTCATTAGATCATAAATGTGGACAAAATGTAAATATTACACACACACACACATCATTATTATTAAAATCATTATATATATACTTGTGTTTTGCTTCTTTTATTCTTGTTTATGTGAAGTACATTGACTTATTTAGAAAATGTGATGAATAGAATTGAATATTTAATGTAAATATATATAAACCCTGCAACATTTCTTAACAATGTCATTCCTGGAACACTACAGATGCAGAAATCCTGTTATTATTATTATTATGATCTCCTGTTGTTATTCTGTGATTAACATGTGGATCCGGAGAATAACCCAATATATAACCCTAACACAATCACTGCACATCTGAAGGGCTGCACACCACTATGATGACACACACACACACACACAAACACACACACACACACACACTCTCTGAGACAGAGGGGGCGGGGTAACGCCGGGAGGGGGAGGGGTTTGGTCGTCATGACAACAGTAAACGCGCGCTAATGTGATTGTGCAATGATTCACGAGTGACCGGAGCTCAAACGGCGGAGAACAGCAGCGGCGCAGCGATTGGACAAGATCAAAGCGGGGCGGGACTTCTGATTTGATGTTGCTAAGAGACAGAAGAAGGAGAGAGAGAGACTGAATGAGTGCATATAGGCAGAAGTCCTCATTCAGCTCATTTGTCCACACACTCCTGTTCTTCACACTGAGCTGTGTGTGTCTGCACGCGGCGTGTGGAGGATCTCCCTCATCAGATGTTGTCAGACGGATGATCTCTGCTCAGCTCAGTCCTCATGTGCACAGCGCTGCGCTTCACTATATCACACACACCTACATCACAAACAGAGATTTATCCACAATACACGACACCATTACACCCGCACACACTGCTGGAGCTCATGAAAGAGTTTGATGCGTTCACCTGCTGTATGCCAGAACTCTTCTGGACAGCGCAGAGCACCGCGCACATTTCTCAAAGTAACTCCTCCTGTGTTGAGTACAGCTGCTGATGGAGAACAGGTGACAGACAGCAGTGATGTTCAGAGTAATGGAGCTGTACATGAGCTTAATTAACACTCAAGAGCTTTAACCTGAGCAGGAGATCTGCTGTGTGTGTGTGTGTGTGCTTCCATCATCCCACACTAGAGGGCGACAGACGCCAGCAGATCCGCACTGCTCAGCACAGCACAGCACTGAATAACCCTAACACAAGTGAATAATGAGGTACACACACAGACACAGACACAGACACACACACACACACACACACACACACACACACAGCTTCACTGAGTTTGATCTGTTTATTAAACTTTGACAGATATATTGACGTCATTTCACAGAGAAGTTAAACACATATTGTCACCTGCCCTCTAGACAAAACCACATTATCCAGGAGAGAAAAGAAAAACATACAAGATGTAAATAATGAACTAATAATGGAATAACCCTGTCTAGATCACACATGTCCCCGCATAACCCAACACTACAGGCTGAATCCTCCACACAGCTCTGCTGTCCAGTGTGTGGAGCAGTTACTCGACACATGAGTGTGTTCCTGCTGTCTGCTGTTCACTCAGAGATGATTATCTGTGCAGATTAACATCATACAGAGATGAGCATAATATCAGGACATCATCATCCTCATCATCATCATCATATCTGTAGTGCAGGTGGAGGAAGAAAGCATCAGAAACTGACTAAAGCACCAGTGTTCAGACAACTCTGAGTGTGTGTGGCATTGTTTTGAGGAAACACACACACACACACACACACACACACACTGTTGGACAGATGGCTCTCTCTGTGTAAATATGAGAATGACTAAAATAACTCTGCGCTTCAACACACACTGTTTCTCACCGTGTGTGTGTGTGTGTGTGTGTGTGTGTGTGTGAGAGAGAGAGATGCAGAATCTTCTTTCTCCCGCACTCTCAAAACAACCAAGAGCTGAACAACACATCAAACACACACACTTGCTCAAACACACATACACTCAAGCACACACACACACACATGCACTCACAGAAACACAAACACAAAAACATACAGACACACACTGACTCAAACACACTCAAAGAATAATATACTTACTTAAACACACACACACACACACAAACAAACACACTCAAACACACACAAACAAACACACTCATACACAAACAAACACTCAAGCAAACACACAAACATACACTCACAGAAACACACACACACTCACTCATGAAAACATACAGACACACACACACGTATACTCACTCATATACAAATATTCAAATACACATGCACCCACTCACACACACACACACACACTCAACAATAACATACTCAAACACACACACTCACTCAAACACACACTTAAACATACACACACACACACACACAAACACTCACTCATACACAAAAACACACACTCAAACATACACACACACTTATACGCACACACTCAAACAAACACACATACACACGCATTAACTCAAACACACACAGTAAATGATGAGCAGGACGCAGGTGTGTGTGTGCAGCGCAGGACATTTATTGGTTCAGTAATATTCTCTGCATATATTGAAGATCCTCCAGAGGGAGACGCCGGCGGTTATCAGTCTGACAGAACACACACACACACAGACACACACACACACGCACGCACGCACACACACACGCCTTTACACACTACAGCTGCGTACAGTAGAGCTGAGCTGTGTACAGTAAACAGGAGAGATAAATACTGCTGCAGCAACACACACACACACACACACACATACACACACACAGATTCTCTCGCACACACTTATTGTCATTCTCTCACTCACACACACACTTAAAAACACATTCATTCACACTAATTTTCTCACACAGATTCTCTCTCTCTCTCACACACACACACACACACACACACACACACACACACACACACACACACACACACACACACACACACACACACATCCTCAGTCCAAACAAACTCGCTTTATTTACAGCAACACACACACACACACACACACACACACCTGTACAACACAACAAACATTTCAATTCAAACTTGATGCAAGTTATGAAAAAAGCATAAAAAAATTAAAATAAAATAAAAATCGCACACACACACACACACACGAACGCGCGCGCACACACACACACGTGTTCTGATCAGCAAATATACAAAACTGAACAAGGCAAAATATAAAAACCCAAAAGCAGAAAATAAAAGTCTCCACTGAGCTGCTGGAGGACACACACACACACACACACACACACACACACACACCACACACACCAGCCAACACAGTCTCTCTGTGTGTGTGTGTGTGTGTCTGTGTGTGCAGTATCAGTGTGTGTGTGTCAGCACAGGGCACATGCGGGTGTGTGTGTGTGTGAGGATGGTGAAGCTCATGCGGTGTGTGTTCAGTCTGGATGAGGAGATTCTCCAGTCTAGAACAGCAGAACACTGATCATGCAGCGGCTGCACACACACACACACACAATCCTCACGTGTGTGTGTGTGTGTGTGTGAGTGAGCGCAGCCGTGACTCTGGTCCATCAGTCAGTAGTAAGCGTGTGTGTGTGTTAGACGAGGGAGTTGAAGGCGGTGCTGGGCGAGGGCTGGGGGCTGTGGTGGGCCGACTGCAGGCCGCTGTACTGGCCGATGAAGGAGCCGTCCTCATTGAACTGTGTGTCTCCAGAGTCTGTGTAGTCCACTAAACTGTCGTCGCTGTCCGCGCGCTTCACACTCCCGCTGGACGGCGTCCGGCTGCCCTTCAGGGGCTTATGATCCTCGTCACTAGGAGAAAAACCACATGCAGTGAACGAGGAGGTCAGAGACAGCGGCCCACACCCGTTCTCCAGCAGAGCCCTGAACACCCACTGCAGCTCAGCACACACACACAGGAGGAGCGGGGGGGGGGCGAGAGGAAGTCAAAGCGCTTTTATTTCATGTATTGTAAAACGGAATATTAAATGAGAATCAGTGGGCGTGGCTTGTTTACTACTGCAAGCTGATTGGCTGTAGTAAAGTAGGCGTGTCATTCAAACAGACAGGGAAGGGGCTTAAGGAGAGTTAATACAACCAGACTCCTCCTCCTTATTTCTGTTTGTTGTCATGGCAATGTTAAAACTGACAGCTGAAAGGGCGTGGCTAACAGACTTAACCACACCCCACAAATCAAACAATGTGAGTGTACTAAATCCACACGGTCAGTCTGAGTCCCTGTGCACTTTAAGGGTTGAGGTCATTAGTGTTGCTCTGACCACAGGTGTCAGACTCGCTCCTGGAGGGCCGCAGCTCTGCAGTTTAGCTCCAGCACACTCCCCTGCAGCTCTCACAGCAGCCTGCAGGACTCCATCAGTCTGATCAGGAGTGTTTAATCAGGGCCGGAGCTCAACCCTGCAGAGCTGCGGCCCTCCAGGAGCGGAGTCTGACCCCTGAGCCTCAGAGTGACCATCAGCCAATCAGAGTGCAGCATTCAGCAGAGCTGCAGCATTAAGAGAAGCCAATGACTGAACGTGTGTGTGTGTGTGTGTGTGTGTGTGTGTGTGTGTGTGTGTGTGTGTGTGTGTGCAGGTGGTGGTTCTGCGGCGTCTCCAGTAACGTGACGCGTCTGCAGGCCTCAGATCAGCAGGAGTTCACCCTCTGTCGGCTCCTGCACAAGCGCAGCTCCACACACACTCGCAGGAGGACGGAGACGTGACGTCGCTCAACCCAGTGCTTTATTAATGCATCTCAATACTCCAGGAAATGACAGCATCTCTGCACAACACGCTTCCCAACGTTACGTAAAAATGTCCAAGTGACCCGGACAGCAGTACTGTATAAAACACAGCGCACGGCAGCACCGGCGGGGGACTCGGCTCGGGTCCGGCTAGTGTCCGCTATGGATGAAGACTGTTCAGTGCACTCTCCTCTACGCTCACCAACACTACGTACAAATCAACAGAAAAACACAGGCAGACGCGGGCTCCGCCGCCGGCGCGCTCCTCTCACAGATGGCAGTGCGGAGAGGAGGAGCGGCGCGGGCGGACGGACGGGCCCAGAGGAGGATCAAAACATCCCTCAATATGACAGAGAGTCTCCAGAACTGTACATGTTTACAGAGGAGGAGCGTCCTGAGCGGGTCAGCACACTGTACACTGAGGACCACACATCCTCCACCAGCACACAGTAAAACCAGCTCTGCGTCCTCCAGGAGAGTGTGTGTGTGTGTGTGTGTGTGTGTGTGTGTGTGTGTGAGTATATACAATAATCCCCCATGGGAGCGGCGGCGGTGGCGGCTGTGGACGCAGGTCGTCCTCCACCGCGCTCCAGTCCTGAGTGTCTGTAAATCTCTGATCGACAGGAAGTCCTCCGGCGCTCCGCTCTGTCCGTCTGTACAGCAGGAGGAAGCAGCGAGTCTCCGCTCGTACAAAATAAAAGTCCTGTTCCACGATTGCTGAGAAAGATGAAGCTCTGCTGTAGAGCGTCTGAGGAAGCAGAGGGACAGCTGGAGCCGCCGGGGTGTGTGTGTGTGTGTGTGTGTGTGTGTGTTCCTGTAGTCTGCAGCGCTCCCGCCGGTGTGTGTGTGTGTGTGTTCCTGTAGTCTGCAGCGCTCCCGCCAGTGTGTGTGTGTGTGTGTCAGTGTGTGTGTGTGTTCTTTGGAGGAGTGTGTGTGGGACGCTCCTCAGCGCCGCATCTGCCCCATCTGGTAGTTCTCGCGGGCGGAGCGGTGGTGGCGGGCTGGCTGCGGGCGCGGGGCGGGCCGTGGGTTCGGGAGGGCGTGAGCGTGCGGCACCGCCTGCTGGTGTGAAGGAGGAGGGTGCTGACTCGAGTGCTGCGCTCGCCGACGCTTCAGCGTACCTGCAACACACACACACACACACACACATTGTTTTTGTGATTTCTGAGGACTCTCCATTGGTGTAATGTTTAACAGAGTAAAAATGTTTATCATATGCTTATTACACGTCTGAGAGGAAGAGGAAGAGGAAGAGGAAGAGGAAGAGGAAGTGTTTACCTGGAAGTGGTTTGGGTGGAGGCAGTTTGGGGTTGCTGCTGGGTGTGTGAACGCTGCAGATCTTGATGAAGCCCGCCATGAGCATGATCAGAGCGATGCCCATCAGCAGAACCGCCCACCAGTGAGCCTGAACACACACACACACACACACACATATTAATACAAACACACACACACACACACACATTAATACAAACACACACACACACATGCGCACACACACTCAGAGAGACACTTGCCATCATCCACTCGGCGATGTTCTCGTAGAGCTCGGGGTTGAAGATGGCCTTCTTGAGTCGGGCGAGCGGCCCGTCAGCGTCCACCAGCCGGCACTTCATGAAGACGTCACAGTAACCCTTAAAGTCATTACAGGGAGAGCCGGCCTGCAGCGTGATCACACGCTTCCCGAAGAACCGGGACAGACGCTCCGAGCCGGTGCTGCTGCAGGTGCTCGGGTTCACTACACACACACACACACACACACACACAGAGAGAGAGAGAGAGTGAGCGGCGCTGCTGCAGTCACCGTGTGTTCTGAAGCACATCTGCTGTTCCGCCATGGCCGACACATTTAACACTCACTGCAGATTCCCATGACTGTGTGTGATGAAGAGTCGTCATTATCTCATCAGTAATGTTGTATACGAGATCATTTACACATTAAAGCATTTAAACCAGTGATGACGCTCATGGTGTTGTGGTGTGTGTGTGATTATGACAAGCCAATGATCAATAACCCAAACTATTACCTACTGTCATGTTACTAGTGCTTATTGATTAGACACTACTGCTAATGTAAACAGCGACTGGAAACTATGTGTGGTTACTAATAATACATGTAAATATTGTTCAGGGATTTCTATGTGACGTATCATCGAGATAATATCAGCTGTTCAGCTTTGACTAGTGTGTACTCCAGCTGTATATTAATATTAGTGTATATTTTTCTCAGATACTGGTAACTTTAAATAGACACTAGAGGTTTTTCATTACTAGTATTTATGTATTGGACAGTCGTATGTTTTACCAGTAACATGAGTCTTATTTCACGCGTCAGCTCTGCTTGTTTACTCGTCTTCTGTTATGACTAGTCCATATAGAAGAGTACAGTTCAATTAAACATTGACTAATAACATTTCAAACAAGCACTGGTATTTAATAAATGTGTGTCAGTACCTTTTAATTAGGTGTAGTCTCTATTTAATAAGCTCTCGTATCTAATTAATAATAAGCACTATATCTATTAAATACATACCAGTATCTAATCAATGAGGACCAGTGTTTAATGATTGACTACTAGATCATATAAACACACACCAGTCAAAGCTGAACAGCTGATATTATCTCCATGACAGATCCTATAGAGATCAATGAATAATATTTACATTTATTACTAATAACCACAGAATAATACCCAGTCACTGTAGCAGTCCTGCTGTCTGATCAATAAGCACTGGTAACATGCCCACAGACACCAGTATGGGCTACTGAATGAATGTCCTGACGGTTTGCCATCGTGTGAAGTCATCCTGACGGGTTGTGTGGAGCACACGTATGATGCTGCGTCTCCTGCTCTCTGGCGCCATCTTGTGTCATGAGGTGTGTGTGTGCATGTGTGTGTGTGTGTGTGTGTGCATGTGTGTGTGTGTGTGTATGCTCTTATGTGTGTGTGTGTGTGTGCATGAGAGCAAGTCTGTGTGTGTGTGTGTGTGTGTTGTTTCTATGTGTGTGTGTGTTGTTTCTATGTGTGTGTGTGTTTTCCAGGATCTCCAGCACATGCCCCTCCCCCTCAGCACGCGGGTACAGTGAGATGATCAGTAGCTCCGCCTCTAACACGCTAACGTCACATGTCATTCTCACGCTCACACACTCACACAGTCAGATCGCGCGGGTCAGGGGTCATAGGTCTGGGATCAGAGGTCAGCGTGTGATGATGTGTGTTTGTGTGTGTGTGTGTCTCTGTGTGTCCAGCGGGCGGCGCTCCTGCGTTCGGGAACCTCAGCTGGTCTGTGAGCGGGGCCGGAGCCCTCATCAGCTGGCAGTACTGGGGCCCCGACACACACCTCTATGTTGAATATATGATAGACAACAGTAAGAGCCTGCCTGCACCAGGTGTGTGTGTGTGTGTGTGTGTGTGTGTGTGTGTGTGTGTGTTTGTGTGTGTGTGTGTGTGTCGTACCATCAACACATTCACTAGAGCTCATATAGAGACACTGCAGAGAGTGTGTGAATATTAGAGTGTGTGTGTATGTGAGTGTTAGTGTGAATGAATGTGTTTTTAAGTGTGTGTGTGTGTGTGTGTGTGTGTGTGTGCATATTAGAGTGTGTGTGTATTATTTT